CCACAACAAAGTTTTCAGGCTAGTACCACAAGACCACCAAAAGCTCACACAATACAAGCAGAAGAGCTACTACCAGCGGCAAAACAGAAGAGAGACTAGTGCTTCCGCTTGCCGCTGTGACGGATGATGTGGACCGTCATGGTAAGGCTCCCGTGGTTCTTCTCCATGGGCTGGAACAGGCACACGTCCTGCACCCGCAGCCGGTTGTTGCGGGCGAAACCGCGCCAGCCATGCGCCAGCGTCCGCCCGCCGCCGCCAGGGGTGCTCGCCCGCATCTCGACCTCCCACTGCTTCCTCCTCACGAGCGTCACGGCGACCCGCTCCCCGGGTGGAAGGTACTCGGCAGCATATGCCCCGGAAATGGTCTGCCAAGCCACCCATTCAAAGGAAGTAAGCAACAACAAAGATGTACTAGTACCACACCTGTCACCTGATCATAATGACAGCTTCACTTGCGACTTACTACGTTGTAGATCCTGTTGCCCACGCCGACGCTGCTCCTGTTCATCACCGACACGTAGGCGGGAACCCGAGACCCGATGGCGCGGGCTGTCCGGTCCACCTCCCTCTCCTGCTCCTCAGTCAGGCGTGCGGTGGATGACAACACGTAGGGACGCGCCGGCTTTGGTAGCTGCCGTGCTCTCTGAGTCTGACGACCATGGTTGCACCCTGAACAAAATTTCAACATGACTTATACAGAAGAGGAATTTCAAATGAACCAAACCGCTCTAGTCTACTAATAAGGGCAGGGCATCTGGACGTACCATCATCTGGTTCCTTGTTAACGCGGGGTGTCCCGGCCGCCTTTGCCGAGTTCACCATTGTTGCTCTTTCCTCCGAGTCCCCGGTTCCACTTGCACCCAAGGGTTCGTGAAGCAGATGGACTGTGAATTTGCTCCTGGTGCCAGTGCCCCTCACTGGTTGGAAGACGCAGAGATCTCCCTCCTGCACGCCATTGTCACGGAGGAAGCCTACCCAGCGAGACCCGGAGAGGACGTGCCCACATTGACTCTTCCTGATGTAAAACCAGGGGTGCCACTTCTTGCTCTTGCCTGGCCGCTGCAGCGTCAGGTTCTGACTCTCACGCGGGAAGTGCTCCTCTGCAAAAGGCTTGGGGATCACCTGATTTTCCAGACGGAGGCGCGGTATCAGTGGTGGATCAAACTCAAACATATACAACTCTACAAGTTTAGCATTTCAAGATTATAACCTTGACGAAAAATAAGCCCAGAAAACTTACAGTAGTACGAATCCGTGTGCTCATATTCATGATGGCCACGAACACGGGAGTCTCGGCTCGAACAGCCTGGAGAAGCCTAGTTACTCTCTCCTCCTGAGCTCCAGACAGACGAGCCGTTGGAGACAAGACATAGTCGCGCCCTGTGCAAGGTGTCTGACAATCATCATCTAGCCCAAAAAACGATTCATCTTCAGAATGTTCCTCTGCCTTAGCGTCACTGTCTTCTCCTGTACAGAAGGAACTCAATAGTTAGTTAAAACCGCAGCAATAAACAAAATCTAATATACCAAATGTGTTGTGGACACATAGTTCAGAAAGTAGTGCTAATGCACAAAACAATAACACAATGTAACCTGAATCCTCCTCAGACGAGGAGTCGTTTATTACAGCAGTTTTTCTAGGATGGCTCGAGTCGCCTCTTTCAGACGTAGCAAAGCGTTGGCTCCCTGGCGACCTTGTGGTATCATCACCCGAGCTGCTTGATATATCAATATAACCCACGCTGCTTGATATATCAATATAATCCACGCTGCTGCTTTCTTGAACATTACAAGAGGCAACTTTGATGCCAGCAGAGGGAAGCACTTTCTCACAGTCATCGGAGTCGAGCACCAGGACCTCGAAACGTGACTTCTCAATGTGGCGAAACAGCAGCGAGTCATTCTCCTCGACGCGATGCGCATCGACAAACGCCTCCCATCCACGCCGCCGGAGGACTGTTTCATTCATAAGCTTGGAGACTTCAACGGTGTACATGCTGTCGTTACGGGATTCCAGTTCGATGGTCCTTGAGATCTTTCCTCCGAAATGCTCTATGAACTTGTTCGGTATGACCTGTAAATAAGAAACAAATTAATTGGTATAAGCAAGCACAGCAATTCCCTAGTTGAGTTTCCTACAACAATGAGAGCAATAGAAAATACGATGTAAAAATTACTAGTATGTGCTATACATAGATTAGTCGGGAAATGGGTTGATAAATGAAGAACATGTAGTAGTATTAACCACAATGACACATCACATGATTGGTTTAGAAATTAGAACAGATAGCCTTAAGTGCTATCTGGAGCTTACAATTTCGTTTGCTACAATTTCTCAGCCTTACAGGATTTACTGCTGGCCTTGAACCCTGAAGTTTAAACTAAATATTTTTGTTCAGTAGCAATGATCTTCAGAATCTATTCACTTGTGTGTGTCTGTTTAGCGCCAACTACATTAAGAACGATCTCATGTAACCAGTAAGCAACTATGCAATACAAATCCCAACCAATCTTGCATGTAAAACATCCTTAAAAAAGAAGAAAAAGATGTCTGGGCATACTTCAGAAACTACTCGCTTCGTTCCCAAATATAAGTCTTTTTAGAGATTCTAACAAGTGACTACATACGGAGCAAAATGAGTGAATCTATACTCTAAAATATGTCTACATACATCCGTATGTCGTAGTCCATTTGAAATGTCTAAAAAGACTTATATTTAGGAACGGAGGGAGTAACTTATAACGAGCTTACCATGCCATGTCTAAAATTAGCAGTCATGCGTCTGAGGAAACACTTCATCTTTCCGTCCTGGTCCACGCATCTCTTGTAGCAGTCACAGTATCTCTTCATCTGGGAAGCTAGTCCAGCCATGTGAAGTGAAATATGCAGCTATGACAGTTGCACATTCAACAAAACAAGTAATAAATCAAACTAAGCATAACGGTAATACTATGTGTCACTCTTATTACAAGTTTCTACCATCAAAGACAAAAACATGCACGGAATCTTTCTGCTGAAAGTGTAAATAACACACAGAAGCTTCAACCGAAGTAAGAAAGTAAGGTGCAAATCTAGCAGAAGAAATCAGTACAAAAACTAGAGAGTGGAACAAATCAGAACAAGATGTTGTTCATGTGCTGGTATCCAAAACCAGAGAAATCGCAGTGTTAAAGTGAACAGCTGCTGTGAAGCCTCAACCCTCTCGTTTCTTCCCTGTTGGTAGGGCGTAGGAGAGAGTAAAGATCAGGTTTATGTTCTGCGAGTTGTGATAATAATAGTACGTACCACACTTATTACAGGTTTCTACCTTCAAAACCAAAAACATGCACCGAATCTTTCTACTGAAAGCATAAATAACATAGAAATGATGTATCAGACGAACGGAAGAAAGAAAAGGTGCAAATCTAGCAGAGCTACCAAGTAAGAGTAGAATAAATCAAAGCAAGGGAAAATGTTTTTCAATGTACTGATATCCAAAATCAGATATCTCATCATTGAAGTGAACAGTTTTTTCTGCTGAGCAGCACTGATGTTGTTCAATGTACTGATATCCAAAACCATCTTGGTTTCTTCCTTGCTGGCAGAACGCATGGGAGAGGAGGAGACACCTTACCGTGGCAAAGCAGCTCCAGGAGGCAATGGTGATTCAGAGAAGAAGACTCGGCGCTGCTGATACATATATGTACACAAGCGGCCTGATAAAGTAGTGGTAGTTTTAGTAGTACATTTTTCTACAACCATGAAGCATCTTTGCCGAAACAAAAGAAGACAACAAAAAGAGATACCGGTAATCATGTCTGCCCTGAAAAGGTATTGAAAGGAGCTTCATGAAGAGACAGTACAATATATGCATGCAGGTATTGGCAGTACATGAAGTTACCTTGGGCTGGCAGGGAATCTGGAGAAATCTGCCATGATATTCTCTGCTGATCCTGAAGCACTGGCAAGTCTAAGATACAGCAGTAATAATATCCTGGGCTAGACTGTGATGACAAGTCTTCACAAAATAAATGTAACTTTATTATTGCAAACACATGCAAACAGAGGAACCACCTCTAGCTTTGCCAAGATGCCTCTGCACCAGTTATGTCCAGTCACTCAGTGTGTGCATACTGCATAGCACTGGCGTGAGCAGAGGAAAAGGAGCCCAGGCCAACACTCGGGAAGCAACTGAGCCTCCAACTTAACTGCAACCACTTGGTCAGTAAGTTGAACAAGTTTTAATATGGTGCACAAACGCAAAAACTCCCAGAAAACTCATGCACGTTTGTATTGTCCTTAACTAACATATATCCAGAACACACCAGAGTTTCAAACAATAAAATTCCACAGCCTTGCTGTTATGATGATGCTGATGTAGGAAAGACAGACATACTTGCGAGCTACTATGATCTTCCAGAAACTGTGGCATGGACGACATACTGATATTTACAAGATCACGTCCACTAAACCTGTCATGTTACACGAGTTCAATGATAATCTGCTAAGGCCGGAGATGAAGTACTAACTAGAGCATCCATCTGACTTCTATAGCTTGTGCGCTGGTGTTATGCCCAGCAGGTCCATGTACCTTTGCACCGACCTCGGTTACTACTCGCAATGGTCCGCAAGCCCAGCCTAGCATTAGCTAAGCTCTCTGAGTTGCTAGACGGTCTCTTGATAAATTGCACAGCAGACAGCTGGTTAGCCATCATAATTCATAAACACAGGTTCTGGAGAGCAGCCACTAGCCATAGTGCCAGACATGCATACTACTACCCCAACAAAGTTTTCAGACTAGTACCACAAGCTCACCAAAAGCTCGCACAATGCAAGCAGAAGAGCTACTACCAGCGGCAAATCGACCTCGTGCGCTAAAACAGAAGAGAGACTACTGCTTCCGCTTGCCGCTAACCCAACAAAGTTTTCAGACTAGCACAAGACCACCAAAAGCACACACAATACAAGCAGAAGAGCTACCAGCGGCAAATTGACCTCGTGTGCTGAAACAGAAGAGAAACTACTGCTTTCGCTTGCGACAGTGACGGATGATGTGGACCGCCATGGCAAGGCTCCTGCGGTTCTTCTCCATGGGCTGGAACAGGCACACGTCCTGCACCCGCAGCCGGTTGTCACGGGCAAAACCACGCCAGCCCCACGCCAGCGTCCGCCCGCCGCCGCGCGTGCACATCTCGACCTCCCACTCTTTCTTCCTCCTCACGAGCGTCACGGCAACCCGCTCCCCGTCCGGAAGGTAATCGGCAGCATACGCCCCGGAAATGGTCTGCCAAACCATTCATTCAAAGGAAGTGAGCAACAACAAAGATGTAGTAGTACTACACCTGATCATAATGACTTACTACGTTGTAGATCCCGTTGCCCACGCCGACGCTGCTCCTGTTCATCACCGAGACGTAGGCAGGAACCCGAGACCCGATGGCGCGGGCTGTCCGGTCCACCTCCCTCTCCTGCTCCTCAGTCAGGCGTGCGGTGGATGACAATATGTAGGGGCGCAGCGGCTTTGGTTGTTGGCGTGCTCGCTCACGACCATGGTTGCACCCTGAACAAAATTTCAACATGACTTAGACAGAAGAGGAATTTCAAATGAACAAAATATCTCTAGTCTACTAGTAAGGACAGGGCATCTGGATGTGCTACCATCATCGTGCTGCTTGTTGACACGGAGGGTTGTTGGGGTGGGTGGCGCCGCCTTTGCGATTGTTGTTGCACCATGACCATGAGCAGTGGTCGCTCTTTCAGGGGCACCCGAGTTCACCCTTGTGTTACCATGAGTAGTAGTGCATCCTACTCTTTTCTTCGGACCAGTACTTCCACTTGCACCCAAGGACTCGTGAAGCAGATGGACTGTGAATTTGCTCCTGGTGCCAGTGCCCTGCACTGGTTGGAAGACGCAGAGATCTCCCTCCTGCACACCATTGTCACGGAGGAAGCCTACCCAGCGAGACCCGGTGAGGACGTGCCCACATCGATCCTTCCTGATGGAAAACCACGGGTGCCATTTCTTGCTCTTGCCCGGGCGCTGCAGCGTCAGGTTCTGGCTTTCACGCGGGAAGCGCTCCTCTGCAAACAGCTTGGGGATCACCTGATTTTCAAGACAGAGGCGCGGTATCAGTGGTGGATCAAACATTAAAAGTTCAGCATTTCAAGACTATAAGCTTCAAGAAAAAAAGGCAGATCAAAACTTACAATAGTGCGATTCTGTGTGCTCATTTTCATGATGGCCACGAACACCGGAGTCTCAGCTCGAACATCCTGGAGAAACCTAGTTACTCTCTCCTCCTGAGCTCCAGACAGATGACCACACCGAGACAAGACATAGGCGCGCCCTGCACAAGGTGTCTGACGTATATCATCTAGCTCAAAAGATAATTCATGTTCAGAATGTTCCTCAGCAGCATCAGTGTCTTCTCCTGTACAGAAGTAACTCAACAGTTAGTTAAAACCACGGCAATAAACAAAATCTAAGATACGAAATGTGTTGTGGATACATAGTTCAGAAAGTAGTGCTAACGCACAAAACAATAACACAATGCAACCTGAATCCTCCTCAGACGAGGAGTCGTTTTTTAGAGCAGTTTTTCTTGGATGGCTCGAGTCGCCTCTTTCACACGCAGCAAATCGTTGGCTCCCTGGCGACCTTGTGGTATCATCACCCGAGCTGCTTGATATATCAATATAATCCATGCTGCCGCTTTCTTGAACATTACAAGAAGCAACTTTGATGCCAGCAGAGGGAAGCACTTTCTCACAGTCATCGGAGTCGAGCACCAGGACCTCGAAACGCGACTTCTCAATGTGGCGAAACAGCAACGAGTCGTTCTCCTCGACGCCATGCGCATCGACAAATGCCTCCCATCCATGCCACCGGAGGACCGTTTCATTCATAAGCTTGGAGACTTTAATGGTGTACATGCTGCCGTTACGGGATTCCAGTTCGATGGTCCTTGAGATATTTCCTCCGAAATGGTCGATGAACTTGTACGGTATAACCTGTAATAAACATATTAATTGGTGTAGGCAAGCACAGCAATTTCCTAGTTGAGTTTCCTACAACAAGGAGAGCAACAGAAAATACGATGTGCATGCACTGTAAAAACTACTAGTATGCGATATATATGGATTAGTCCAGAAATGGGTTGATAAACGGAGAACATGTAGTGGTATTAACCGGAATGACACATCACATGATTGGTTTAGAAATTAGAACAGATAGTATTAAGTGTTATCTGGTGTTTACAATTTCTTTTGCTACAATTTCCCAGCCTTACAGGATTTACTGCTGACCTTGAACCCTGAAGTTTAAACCACATATTTTGCTCACTAGCAGTGATGTTCAGAACCTATTCACTTGTGTGTCTGTTTAACACCAACCGCACTAGGATCATTTTTGTCTAACCTGTAAGCAACTATCCATTACAAATTCCAACCAATCCTACATGCAAAACATTCTAAAGAAGGAGAAGATGTCTGGGCACACTTGAGAAACTGCTACAAATTATAGTGGGCTTACCATGCCATGTCTAAAATTAGCAGTCATGCGCCCGCGGAAACACCTCATCTTTCCATCCAAATGGCCCGCATATCTCTTGTAACAGTCACAGTATCTCTTCACCTGGGAAGCTAGTCCAGCCATGTGAACTGAAATGTGCAGCTTATGTCAGTTGCACATTCAACAAAGTAGTAAATCAAACTCTACACATCAGCATAACGGTAATCTCTCCTTCATAGAGAGTGCAGATCATTTTCTTGTTATGACAGTTTGTAATAAAGATAGTATGTGCCCCTCTTATTGCAAGTTCCTACCTTCAAAACTAAAAACATGGACACAATCTTTCTACTGAAAGTGCAAATAACACAGGAAAGCTGCAACCGAAGAAAGAGAAGGCCCGAATCTAGCAGAGCAACCCAGTGCAAAACTGGGAGAGTCAAACGAAAATCAAAACAAGCAAAGATTGTTCATGCACTCATATCCCAAACCAGAGAAATCGCAGAATTAAAGTGAATAGCTAGCTACTCTGAAGTCTTAGACACCTTACCTTGGCAAAGCAGCTCCAGGAGGAAATGGTGATTCAGTGAAGAAGACTCAGGGCCGCCGATACATATATGTACACAAGCGGCCTGATAAAGTAGTGATAGTTTTAGTACATTTTTGTGCACCATGAAGCATCTTTGCCGGACCAAAAGAAGACACCAAAAAGAGAGATGCCGGTAATCATGTCTGCCCTGAAAAGGCATTGAAAGGAGCTTCATGAAGAGACAGTACAATATATGCAGGTATTGGCAGTACATGAAGTTACCTTGGGCTGACAGGGAATCTGCAGAAATCTGTCATGATATTCTCTGCTGATCATGAAGCACTGGCAAGTCTAAGATACAGCAGTAATGATATCCTGTGCTAGATTGAGATGAAAAGCCTTGAAAAAATAAATGCAACGTTATTTTATTGCAACATATGCAAACAGAAGAGCCACCTGTAGCTTTGCCAAGATGCCTCTGCACCAGGGTCGCTGCTGCAGAGCCAGAGTTATGTCCAGTCACTCAGTGTGTGCATACTGCATAGCACTGGCGTGCAGGAAGCAACTGAGCCTCCAACTTAACTGCAACCACTTGCTCAGTAAGTTGAACAAGTTTTAATATGGTGCACAAACGCAAAAATGCCCAGAAAACTCATGCACATTTGTATTGCCCTTAACTAATATATATCCAGAACACACCAAAGTTTCAAACAATAAAATCCCACAGCCTTGCTATTATGATGTTGCTGATGTAGTAAAGACAGACATACTTGTGAGCTATTATGATCTCCCACAAACTGTGGCATGGACGACATACTGATATTTACAAGATCCCGTCCACTAAAACTGTCATGTTACAGAGTTCAGTAAGGATTTGCTAAGCCCGGAGATGAGGTAGTAACTAGAGCATCGATCAACTTCTATAGCTTGTGCACTGGTGTTATGCCTAACAGGTGGAAGCACTGCCGCATGACGATGGCCGTCGCTTGGCACAGCAGCAGGCGGCTCGTTTCCTCCGGTGACCCGACCACCTGCCAGAATCATGGTACAAAGAGAAAGGTAGTTAAGCATGACACGATCAGATAGAGAAATATTTGGTTTGGCAAGCAGATTAGTACCGTACCTGGCAGTTGGTGTAAAATTGTGAGAATCTTTCAGATAGGGTGTACAGGTAGTCACAAAGGCGATGGGGCGACAGGTCGTCACAGATCTGCTCGACAACCTTAAACATTGCAGTATAGCCAGAGTTAACGACACAGTATATTATATATATGTACACATAAAAGGATGGTGCTCTACTGAAGCAGTAGGTCTTGTTTATCAAACGCATCCCATGGAGATTTCATCCTGGATAATTTTCAGGCTAAAAATTCTTTGCTGCCGCAGGCAGAATTTTCAATTACAATCAAGCAAGTGGATCTAAGACCTTGTTAAACAGCTTCAATGAATGAATAATCAAAAGCATGTACCTCTGCAAATTGGATGAGATGCAATCCTAAGGAACGCTCGTCAGGATGGCCGAGAGTAATAAATTCAGTCTGAATCCAAAGGAAGGAAAGTAACAACCATCAGCAATCATGCGATGCTACAGACGGTGTATGGGTTACAAGTATGACAAGATGCTCACCATTTTCAACTCTTCGACATCCTTGTTGGATTTCTGGATGATGGAACAGATACGGGCGTGTGCATACTGAAGGTACACAGCGGTATTTCCCTGCTCATTGCATCACGGTTAGATCTTCATAATACACTCTACTTGGGTAGCTTAAAAAGAGTACTTCGGGACCAAAATACACCGAGAAAAAATAATCATACATAACTAGTTAGTACATGGATGCTAGAGTACCTTGTCACTTAGCATTTGTTCGTAGCTAAATTTGTAGTCCGTCAGCCGATTGTTTTTAAGATCTGCATACCTGAATTAAAGAAATTGTAGAAAATGAAGCATCATCAGAACGCTTGAACTATGTGCAGTTAAACATCCACCATAAGGAAAAGTAAATAAGTCTTTATAAGTTGTAAATTTCACGCATGCATCCAAGTTCTAATACATGCAGGTGCACGTAAAATAGGCACGAGCAGTCATATAATAGAACTCTAATGCTTAGATGCACAGGCTAGTGAGTACGAGCAGTCATACAACAGAATAGAACTTTAATGCTTTGAAAGTTTGATTCATGGAACAGAATATATGAGATAAAATGACCCTTTTATAGTTTTAAAGTGTTTCTCTCCAATAAAGATGATAGAAAGAGAATGTAAACTCACTTAACAGCACCATATCCTATAGCCTCTGAAGTTTTATCCAGCTCCTCATCCGTCCATTTAGCAATTTGACCTGAAAAAAATCGTCACAATTGCAGGCATGGTGAGAGTTCATTTTTT